ACCTGGCGGGCATTTTTCAAACCAGCAGAGTAAAAAGACCACTCTGCTTGCATGGGAAGAGGCTTGTGGACCACTAGGGCACCCATTTGTCCAGCAGTCTGTTTCCAACAGTGGCCAGCCTGAGAAGCTCACAAGCCATGTCCTGGTTCTGGTGTTTGGGTCTATAGCACCTGTAGATGGCCACTGCATCATGCACATGGGCAACTTTGGGTCTCAGTAGCCAATCCTCTTGGCTGAACTCTAGCACAGGGTTTTATAACACCATCATGGGGGAGGGTGTGTGTGCGCTGCTTGTCCAATTATTTGCAGGTAGGACTCACATCATGCCCGGGCCCAGTTCCAGCTGAAAGAACCCCCCCTCAAGATTTTGTTAAGTGTTTGGCCTTGCAAAATGTGAATCATGTTAAGAATGTGACGGGGAAATTTTTGAGGGTTCCAACGAGGTGTTCAAATAGAAACAGTGGATTTTAACAGAAAAGAATTTATTAAGTAGTTCAAACTACAGAGAGAGATCCTATCCAGATACCGAGAATAAGTTCTCCAAAGTTCTGATAGACACATCATGCATTATATTGTATCATCTTTCATCTCCAGTTACCCTGTGACTATTCCCTACATATTCTCACTATGTTTTCATTATCATATACTATGTTTACCAATTACATTTCTTTAATGCCCATTTCAGCACTTGGTTACAAAGACATGCTAACCCTAAAGATAATAGGCATTTACTCAGTGGTAGGCAACTGTTCATGGCTTGTATCTTCATATTCTAACTTCCTATCTTATCTCTGAGGCTAGGCTCAGAGGCTGTTTTGAGCCTAGCCTCAAAACAGACATCAGCAGGCACTTGAGTATCTTACCAAATACAGCACTAGATCTACTTCAAGCAGGCATGTGACATTCTTAATGTAACACCTTCTTATGATGCTAGCAGTATTAATGACATTAGCAGAATTCAGGCAAAGTTCAAGAATTTAGGGCATACAAAGATTTTAAGTTTTAAGGTACAGGAAAAGATTTTAAATTTTAAGGCATAGGAAAAGAATTTATGACATACAAAGATTTTAAGTTTTAAGGCACAGGTTAATTTCTCTGTCAAATGCATCATTTGAAAAGTGGTGTATGTGTGCATCTATATCTATCTATTCAATAAATAAATAAATAATAGAAAACAACTCATTCATGACTCTACTGTGGCTTGTCAGTATACTTGGGTCCCTTTGCTTAATGCCATAGTTGGGTTTCAAAGGGAGGGTGAGCTGCAGGCTTGCTTTCATGTCATTCAGGAAATAAGCCCCGAGGAAGCGTCTTGAAAAATCTGTCCCCAAGCGCCAAATATAGAAAATGAGTCCCACCTGCAGAAACTGAGAGTACTGTCAGGAGGATGGCATGCATGATGATCCAGGAGGATGCACCTTCTTGCAGGCGAGCGAGCAAGCAAACTCCTGTCTTCTAGGAAATAAGTCAACCTGTGGAGGTGAAGTCTCAAGGCTCAGAATGTGGCTCAGCTTGTTCTCTTGTGCCCACAAAGTGAATTGAAGCACCTGGGGTTAGCCCTGACTTGGGTAGCCCAGGCAAACCCAATCTCATCAGATCTCGGAAGCTAAGCAAGGCTGACCCTGCCAAGTACTTGGATGGGAGACCTCCAAGGAATACCAGGGCTAGGATGCAGAGGCGGGCAATAGCAAGCCACCACTCTGAAATGTCCAAGCCCCACTAGGGGTTGTCAGAAGTCAACTATGACTTCCAGGCACAAACACACACACAGACACACAAACACCAAAAAGGAGAGAAACAACTGGGGTTAAAGCAGTGGGTAGCAAAGCAAAGAGAAAACAGGAAGCATCTACTCAAGCTGCATATTGCAGAGATCCTCCCATAGGCACAAAATAACTTTTGAAATACACAGAATCTCAGATTTCCCTCTTGCCCTCCAGCCTTTGTCTTCTCTGTATGATGATTGGGTTTCCCCAGAAAAGTTTGGCAGTCCTGGCTATAATAATGCATCTTATCTACAGAGAAGATTTCCCCCATTTCAGCCACCCAACTAGTGCACTTTTGTTGTTGTTATTGTTGTTGTCCCATGTGATGTTGTCCTCCAGGAAACAATTACTCCGTAGATTGGACACTTGGCAAGCATTCCTGATGTTCAGAAACTGAAATTCTTACTTTCCTGCAAACTAAAAACATTCATGGTGGACATTGCTCTATTTTGTTATATAATTTCTGTACCTCTGACAAACGGAATTCATTTTAAGGATGCATGGCCTTGGCTGTTAAATTAAGGAAAGGATACTGTTGGGATGATCTTTTTCTTGTTTCTGAAAGGGTAAGTATGTCTTATATTTGGATGAAAGGAAATGCCCCTTTCCTCAGCATTTTCACAGTGAACAGCCTGAATTGTTTTAATTGGGGAGGGGGTGGTGGTGGTGGTCAGGGCAATGTCATAGTGCAGTTGCTAGCAATACAAAACCGGGGAGATTGGGCAGGGGAACATCAACACCAATGTCTTGCCAGCCGAGCACTGAGATGGAATCCAGATAAAGAAAGATGGAGTTGGGGTGCCAGCCTCCTATCTCCCCAAATCACAGCTGATCTTCAGACTACAGAGATCAGTTCTCCTGGACGAAATGGACGCTTTGGAGGACGGACTCTGTGGGCATTGTACCTCATGGAGGTTCCTGTCCTCCTCAGGCTCCACCCCCCCAATCCCAGGAATTTCCCAACTTCAAGCTGGCAACTCTACCCCACCTCCACCCATGGCCAGGGGGCACCTGAAAATCCTAGATGATGTGGAGGGATTTTTTTTAATGGGGGGGGGGTCAGGGTATCACCATTATTACAGTAGAGCAATACAAAACCAGAGGGGGGGGGGACATGAATCAGTGTCTTGTTCAGTGCTACAATGAACAAATGCATTACAGTGAGATTGGGTGTGGAAAGGATCTGCCCCAGTGTCTTGTTCAGTGCACAGGATTTTTTTAAAAATTGGCTGTAGAATTGCACTCTTCTTGAGTAGTGCTTGCATATACCATTTTTAAAAGGGTAGGTGGAAAATCACGATGGCAGCATGACAATGTGGGGGGATGCAGTGCACATCTGATGTGAAAGGGAAACCATGCTTAATCCTGGTAAAAAAACAAAACCACAACCCAAAACCTCTCTGGCATCCCTGTTGCAAGTGCAAATTGACCAACAATCACACTAATAACCTGGCCACCACAGAAAAAGATCTCATGTAGAATCAGTCACTTTCCCGTATGCATCCGAACCAGAAGTTATCAGCAGAATATTCATGCTAGAAGGGTTGGGGCTGGGGGTATGTATTGAATCCAATGGCCTGCTGCGTTTCACTGCCCGAATGCCTTTCTGCACAGAATGCTGCAAGAGAGGTTTCACATTGTGCCCCCTCCTGGCTTTCACTATTGCAGCATGCTTCTTTTCTGTACAACAATAAAAAATTTATACACCATATTTACTTGAAAGAAAGACGACCTTGAATGCATGACAACCTCATTCAAAATGTTATACATACAAAGAATATATAGATACGTCCCCCCTTATTGATGGCATACCTGGCAGGATGAAATGTACTTTTGCGTTTCAGTAAATACTATAGTCATTTTGCACTATAGAAATGCACATGCTCACTGAGCTACTTCATTGACTTTGGTGGGTAATATGTTTTAGCAGAAGTTAAACCTACATAACAAGCCCAGTGCCTGGTGCCTTTTCAAGGTCTCCTCTTCCATTTCAGCAAATGATTTGTTGAAAGCATCTGGGTCCAATGGCATGATTTGTATTTGTTTATTACTGACATTTAACTCAACCCAATATACAAAGGTGACAATAATGCCATTACAGAAGACAGTTTTAAATTAAATATCCAAGCTTGCAGTTTCTGGAAGGAAGAAGGGTTTTGCACAAGATCAGAACAGTAAGACACACAAAATTTCTCCACCTTCAATGGCCACTGTACTCATTTCAACACAAAAAGCAACTGTTCTTACTTGTAAGGCAGGAAATGCTTCAAAGCCTCCAATAAACAGGTAGATGTCTTCAGCACACCAGATAGAACGCACTATATATGTATACATTATCACAATTTATTACAACATTAGAAAACACGGCACTTCGTAGAGCGTCAGAAGCAAAATGAGAAGTCCTTGCCCCAAGGAACTTACAGTCTATATTTCATGGGGGGGGCGGGGGAGAGAATCATCTGCAGTTATAATTCAGGAGAAGAGCACCCAGTTTGCATGCGGATGATGTTCTCTGTTCTCTGTCATCTCTCGTTAAAGGAGCAGGTGCTGGGAAAGCCCTTTCTCTGGCTGAGGCTGTGGAGAGCCACTGCCAGTCAAAGTAGACTGGCAGTGGCTCTCCACAGTGAGCTAGACAGAAAGCAATTTCTTGCTTATTCTCATGAGCATTGTCCGTACGATAGCTATGGTATGTGTCTCTGTGCCAGACACTCTTGTGCAAGACCTGGGTAACTGTGCGAAAAGACCCTTAGTAAAGGCAGTAAAGGCTTTAGAGTGTGTGTTCCTCTTTAAGCAAGCAAGGCTGCCATCTCGTGGTGAATCCAAGGTGTGCTGTCTCCTTTCCTGAGTTTTCAAGCAGGGCCAAAATAGTGGCAGAAGTATGTGTGCCTATAAAAGCTGAGTTGATATTCTATGTAAGGGGGAGGAGCATTTATAGTACATTTTGCACAGACAGGAGAAAGAAGCGTAAGCCTCTCCTCTTCTGTGCCCCCCTCCCATTGGCAAAAACAGCTAAGGCAAAGCAAGGACAGAATGTGGAAAGGGGGAAGACTCTGCACCCCCTGCTGCCACCTGCCCATGCCCTGCTTTAAATCACCCTCCCTCTCTTTATTTAAGATCAGCACAGTACCAGTTAGGTCTCGCTAACCTCACATCTAGTTGCACCCCCTAAATACACACACATGGATGGATGGATGGATGGATGGATGGAAGGAAGGAAGGAAGGAAGGAAGGAAGGAAGGAAGGAAGGAAGTCTGCCCTCGATAAACACGGCATGCCTTTTGATCTTTCCCCCCAGAGGTCAGAATTTTGGATACAAAGAGATCAGGGTGTTAATCCTTTCATTGCTGAATATGCCCTAATCCACAGGAGAACAGTTACTCTCTTCTAACAGTGCTGTAGTTGCTGACCTCAATCAGGTTACAGTCTGGGTCTCGAAAGTAAACAGATGTGATTGGACCAACTGCACCAGTTCTGAGTACTGGCCCTTCTTCAATTTTCACCCCACAGGCCTGTAAGAAAGGGGTTGGGGGAAGGAATAAAGGAGAAAAGCATAACATTCAACAACCTCTATGCCTCCCCATCACCTTTTGCAACATTTTTTCAGAGAACAGACATTGAGTTTGTGGTGCTATACTGGATCCAGTCTGACACCAGGCCTGAGATTGGGACCAAAACCTTCTTGGTTTGATTCTTCTAAACCTTTCAATCACTTTCAATACCATCAACCATGAAACCATTCTGCAAGACTTTTCTCAACCCAGGGCCCCATTTGGTGGCAGATTTACTCCTTTCTGGAGGGCAGGATTCAGAGGGCTGTGCTAAGAGACTATTATTTCTTCCGGTGGGAATGGCTCTGCTGGGTTTCACAGGCTTCCATTTGTTCCCCCATGCATTTTAACACCTGCATGAAACTACTAGGAGAGAACATACAACAAGACATGAGAGCGAGTCTTTCAGTAACATCCATGTCTGGATTTTTTCCTTTTCATCAGATCCAGGTGAGGCAGCAGCAGTATTCCTGCATGTCTGACAACAGTAGATGTGGCTGCATAAACTTTAAGCTCAGTCCTTACAGAGTGGATAATTGTGTGGTCAAACATCTGCCATGGATGGAGTCACCACCCTCCTGTAAAGCCTACATTCACCACTTGTTAGAGCCTCTGGGTTCTGCATTGTCCCTGAAACTCCCAAGTAGTGGTTGTGGCCTACAGTGCCCTTTACGGCTTTGATTGAGAAACCAGCTATGCCTACTACTCTTACCTGGCCAATGACAACCATGTTTTATGACTTCCAGACTGGACTGCTGTAACGTGATCTACATGGGGCTGCCTTTGAAGATAGTTGAACATTTTCCTGCTAGGGAGAACGCTGCTGCAGTAGGGTTGCCAGACCCCCTGGTGGAAGCAGGGGTCCCCCACTGTCAGGCCCCACTTCCCTGCCACAGAAAAGCATGGGGGAACTCAAAAAAGAGGGAAATCCATCTGACGTGCAGCGACATGTCTACATCACTACCCATGTGACCTGGAAGTGACATCACATCTGGGCTGTCAGGGTGACACTCTGGTATTTGGGCAAAACTCTATGGTAGAAGCCAAATTTACCATAGAGCTCTTGCCCAAATACCAGAGCATCACTCTGATGTCTTGGGCATGATGACGTCACTTTCAAGTCATGTGGGCAGTGATGTGGACACATCACTGTACATCGGATAGGCCTCCCTGCTACTCCCAGTAAGTCTCCCCCCATCCCCTGCCAATTGCCAACTTGGGCCTTGGCTTCTGCCAGCTGCCATCTTGTAGCTTCTGACCTTCAAGTGCCCCATCAACTGCTCCAGGGGCATCTCTGTTATGAGGCAGATGTCCAGGGAACCTGGAACTGGCTGGTGGGCCTTGGGCTCAAACTCCTTCCCTGCTTCATGAAGGTTAAATTTCTGGTTCCCAAAATGCAAGGCTTTGCGGTTTCCCTGTTAACAAAGTAAAGTTGAGTGAGTGAAGGGGAGTCTCAGCAACTGAGGGCCTCCTAAAAGCAAACTGTATGGAAATGAGGGGCTTGAGACACACCCAAAGGTCTTGTTTGCATGGGGGACAGGGCAGAATGGGCCCTGCATTTAAATATGTTAAAATGAATTCTATGTCTGAACTAATTCACATTTCTGCATAAAAAAGCTTGATGTCTGTGATCTCAACAACTTATGCACAATTGCAAACATTTGCATATTTAATATAATTTATTCTGGTTTTGCTGGCTATGGGGAGGGGCAAAGAAGTCTCCTCTCAATAATCCTACTTAGCCCGTCTCCATCTTGGCTTGTAGAATTGAAACAGGAAATTCCTGCAGACTTTCAGGAGTTGGATCCAGACTAAATCTTCTGCTAACAGAAAACACTTATTTCCCCAGAATGCCCCTTCTCACTGCAGCCCACCGATCTCCTCCAAAATGCTGCTCCTGGGGGAGAGGGGACAGTCTGGAATAGCATTAGAGGCAAATCAGAGGTTGGTGCGGGTGGGGGGATGGCAGAAATTACACCACCTCCCATCAGCGGGAAATTTAGTCTGGATCCAACATTATGAAGACAACCTTTAGGGGAAGAAACGCTTATTTGAAAATGAAAGCTGAAATGGTAGGGCAGTGGAATTTGACAACCAGTACTAAATTTGGCACTTTTGTTGTATTATACACAGTGCAGTCAGAATATCTGCACACCTCCAGTATTTCTGATGGATTTGGTGTGCTGTCCCTGACTATACCATGACGTGTACTCTGGTGGCTGACTGTAACAATAAAAATTACTATTACCATGATGTCATGCAGTTGCTCTACAGGAAACAATTTCTTGTACTTCTGCCCTCTCTGCAGTGGGACGTGGCAGCTGCTTAGGTGTCAGGTAAATATTGTGACCTCTCAGTAAAGACAAGAAGGACTGAAAATGTTTTATTTTTTGGTATTTTTGCATCTTTGTGTTCGTGCATCTGTGTGCCTGTGTCTGGAAGTCATGGCAACCTCTGGCGACTCCTACTGGGGCATGGAGGGCATTCAGAGAGGTGGCTTGATTGCCTGCCTCTGTCTCCCAGCCCTTGTATTCATTGGGGTCTCCCATCCAAATCCTTGCCAGGGTCAGCCCTGCTTAACTTCTGAGATCTGACAAGATTGGGCTTGCCTGGGCTATCCAGGTCAAGGCAAGAAGGACTGAAAATGTGATGAGTTTGCAGACTCAAGGCAACCACCCCTTTGCTTTATGTCTTAACTAGAAATAAGGCTCGTTGTGGAAATAAATACAATGGGATCTAGAAAGAGGCTCTGGGAGAGTGCGCTGGCTTTGGGCAAACAGTGTCAATTTGCTGTGGCGACCTCAGCAGGGTATAATGACAGAGTCCACTGTTTTCTCCAGAGGGACTGATCTGTGCTACCTGAAGAGCAGTTGTAATTTTGAGTGCTCTCTAGCCCTCACCTGGAGAGTGGCAACAATTGTTACCCAGGCTCCACCCCTCAAATCTCCAGGAATTTCC